TCCAGGCGTGCCGGCGGGCGTGCTGATGCTGGGTACGCGCCAGAGCTCCTGAAGTTGGTCGACGCAGCAGCGGTGGCTTCGGTGGCCAAGGGGACGAAGGCGACCTACGGTGTTGCTTGGAGGCAGTGGACGACGTTCTGCCGTATCCGCAGGAGGTCGCCCATCCTGCATGGTGAGACTCGCGAAGAGCGTCACCAAGATGAGGAGGAGCTGCTGCTATTCATGGTGCACCTGTACAACAGCCTGAAGCGGTCGCACGGTACGATACGGTCGAAGTTGCTGGGGATCCGGTCACACCACGTGATGCTGGGTGAGCCCGACCCCCTGGCGGGTAAGCCGCGATTGTGGATGGTTTTGAATGGGATAGAGAATTGGCAAGGGCCCGGAAGGAGGAAGCTCCCGGTTACGACCAAGATGCTGAGGAGGATCCGAGACATGCTGAAGCGGGACACGTGTGCGGACGACGCGGCCTTGTACTTCTGCGTGATATTCGCGTTCTTCTTCATGATGCGGATTGGCGAGTACGCCCGCTCGGGGCACTGGGATTTGAAGAAGGTCCTGACCAGGCTGGATATTGCCCCGAAGTGCAAGGGCCAGCAGGTAAGCCACTTCGCCGCCGCGGACGAGGTGGTGCTGTGGTTCAAGGCGTCGAAGGCTGACCAGAAGGGAGCAGGGCAGGCGAGGAACCACTACCGCTCGAACGACCCGCACGGCATCTGCCCAGCGTGGGCGGCGCAGTGCTACAACCGCTGGTTCCCGAGCCGTATCACGGGCAAAGAGGCGCATCTACCACTCGCGAGGTGGGAAGACGGCAGCCCGATCACGCGGGAGCGTATCCAGGGCTTGCTTCAGAAGGCAGCGGCGCTGGAAGGCTATCCACCCGACAGGTTCAAGAGCCATTCGCTCCGAATCGGGGGGGCGACGGCCCTGTACCACTGCTTCCAGGACACGGAGCTGGTCAAGCGTTGGGGACGGTGGAACAGCGGAGCCTTTCACCAGTATTTGTGGGAGGCGAATGAGGACGCCGCTGGAGTGTCAGAGGCGATGGCGAAGTCCGTGGCAACCCTGCGCGTAGGGCACAAGGTGGGAGTGGCGAGAGATGGACCGGCTGCTGACGTGAAGCAGAAGCCGGGGGCCTGAGGACAGTAGCAGGAGTGCGAATGTGAACCGAGGCGTGTCACCACTGGAGGGGCCGTGGCTGGATTGTGCGCAGTCCTGGGGCAGCGGCCTGGGGGCAGTGGTGACCCCCCCCCAGGATCACGGACTGAGGTGAGGTGGAGGAGGCCCGCGTGCCCCAGTCGGCACCACCCGCAGGTCACGGGCGCCAAGGGGTCGCGCGGAGGTGAGGAGGCCGAGGGCCGGGGCGCCCCGCCAGTGCGGTCCCCGAGGAGAGGTGGAGGTGGCCGGGGTGTCCCGCCAGTGCGGTCCCCGAGGAGAGGTGGAGGTAGCCGGCTGGTGCTTCGCCAGCGCCGGTTCGCGCTGTTCAGTGAGACGCCCAGCTGTGAGCCCCATTCGGCACTACCCGCAAGTCACGGGCGCCGAGGGGGTGAGTGAAGCTGGGTGGCCGAGGAGCCGCCAGTCTGGCGGCACAGCTAGGCCTCACCTGAGGCCTAGGAGGACAGCACGCGCCTGCGGTTGCCAAAAGAGCGCGCGTGCTTCTCTGCTGCTAGAGTTTTGTTTGAGCCCGAATAGTGCTTGTGCTCGTCGCGGTCGGGCGCTCACTGTTTGGTTTCTACCGGGCACCTTCTCATTTAAACGTGAGAGTTTGAGCGTGCGTAAAACGTAAGGTTTCAGGGAGTAAGTGCCTGGTGAGGGGGAAGGGTCTCTCTTGCCTCTGTCCCTTTCCCCCTCTCCGCGGCCCCTTTGGGGCTCAAGTCCCTTCTCGGGCCCTTCCCTCCCAGGCCCACCCTGGCCCTTCGTAGGTCCTTTCTCTTTTCGGCCTTGACCGCATAGCGGTTCGGGCCGAGGAGCCGCCAGTCTGGCGGCACAGCTAGGCCTCACCTGAGGCCTAGGAGGACAGCACGCGCCTGCGGTTGCCAAAAGAGCGCGCGTGCTTCTCTGCTGCTAGAGTTTTGTTTGAGCCCGAACAGTGCCTGTGCTCGTCGCGGTCGGGCGCTCACTGTTTGGTTTCTACCAGGCACCTTCTCACTTAAACCCTTGTGGTTGGGGAGGGACGCCGCGTTCCTTACGCGTTTCACAGCGTGCCTCAGGTTTTCCACATATATATATATATATATATTTCTTCGATGGAACATCGAAGTTCAGCTTATGGAAAAAAAGGGGCCTCTTTGCCTATTCAGGGTTCCTTAGGTCAACGCCCCGACTGTACCAAGAGGCGTCTGGACCTGGACAGATCCCTGCCCCGCCACCGGGCGGGGCCCCTGGAAGAGTTCCCCCAGAGATCCGACGTCGTGATTTTCTCAATGCGGGGCCCCCTGGAAGTCTCGACCCATTCCCCAGGACCGGTTTTTCCTCCTGAGTCGTTTTCTGACGGTCCCGGGGCCCGGCGAGGGCCCTTCGAGGCCGAAAAATGCGGAAAACCTCCGTCCTGATTTTTTCCATACGTTGGCTTTCTCGGTCTGGGCCTGGACAGGTCCCATGCCCCGCCACTGGGCGGGGCCCCTCGCCGGGCCCGCGCCCCGCCCGATCGGCGCGCCCGCGGGCCCGCGCCCCGCCCGCGCCGGCTGCCCCGGCGGGCCCGCGAAGGCGCACCACGGCGGCGCCCACGGCCGCCCACCGGGCGAGGCGCTGGCGGACCCACCCGGTTTCTCGGTGGCAGCGACTTCGTGTTATGATGCTCCTGCCTGCTTTAGCCTTGACCACCTGGAAGAATTTCGAGCGCCCCCCAAAAAATACCGAAGGTCGAGGGTTTTCACGTGCCCGCCCCCGGGGGGCACTCGCCCGACACTGTCTCGACACTGTCTCGACACGCTTTCGACACTCTTTCGACACTTTTCTGGGTGCTCGAAATTATTTTTGGGATGCGGTCCTTCAGTAGGACGGGAACAACATAGACTTAGATGGCCCTGGTCAGAGCCACGAATCATCAGGGGTAGCTCGGGTCAGGGCTAACTCGGGTTCGTTTTTCGGGATGCCGCACCCGAGTTACCCCGGGCCCGAGTTGCCCCGGATCATTCGGGCGTCCATGAGTCCCGAAATCATCAGGTGTGACTCGGGTCAGGGCTAACTCGGGTTCTTTTTTCGGGAATCCAAACCCGAGTTGCCCCGGACCCGAGTTGCCCCGGAGAATTCGGGCGTCCGGAGTCCCAAAATCATCAGGGGTAGCTCGGGTCAGGGCTAACTCGGGCTCGTTTTTCGGGATTCCGCACCCGAATTACCCCGGACCCGAGCTGCCCCGGATAACTCGGGCGTCCAGAGTCCCAAAATCATCAGGGGTGACTCGGGTCAGGGCTAACTCGGGTTCGTTGTTCGGGAATCCAAACCCGAGTTACCCCGGACCCGAGTTACCCCGGATAATTCGGGCGCCAAACCATGGAAACGACAGGGCCGTTTTTGTTACCGGTTCCGTTTTGCCGTTTCCCTGCCGGCTCCGACGCCCTTGTCTTACCGGTTCCGTCGCCGTTTTTGGACCAGTTCCAGCTCCGGGTCCCATCCTGGAGCCGTTTTTGTAGCCGTTTCCGGTCGCCGTTTTTTCGCCGTTTCCATTTTCAAGGGACGCTTTTTCGGAAACGGTGAAAAACCGGCCCTGCCGTTTCCGGGGCCCGCTAATTGGCAGCGATAGAGGGGGGATGGGCACAGGGGAAGGATGCACCGACACGCAATCGCCCATGGATCGCCGATAGGTCGGGTCGACCCACAAGGGGGTCCAGCGACAAGGGGGTGGTGCAACAGATCTGGTGCTATAGATTGGCGGGGTCGCAATACCTTTGGTGCGTGCAATGCGTTCCGGGGCGCAAATGCATTGCTGGATTTTCGCGTGCAATACACTGCCTGCAATACAGTACAGTACAATTCTCCAGCGCACTGGGGTTGCAACACAATTGCCTTAAGTCCATTTCACCACCCCCCTGTCGCCGGACCCCTTCTTGGGTCACCCAAAGATAGGGGCCCGATAGTCCCGACCTGCCCAGCAAGGTGCGGATCCACTCTCGGAGCCCTATCGCCGATCCATCGGCGATGCATCGCCGATTCCAGACCGATGCACCTCCCCCCCCTGTGCCCATCCCCCCTTATCGTTGCCCCTCAGTTTCGGCCACGCACAGACCCAGAGACCAAACGCACTGAAAACACCAAGAGACGGAGGTGCTTCCTACTTTTTGGGCCTCCGGGGGGGCCCTCGCCGGGCCCCGGGACCGTGAAGAAACGACGCAGGAGGAAAAACCGGTCCTGGGGAACGGGTCGAGGCGTCCAGGGGGCCCCGCATTGAGAAAATCACGACGTCGGATCTCTGGGGAGGGGGTATCAGGGCTCCTTTCGATTCCTCCGATTCGATGTCGATGCCGATGTCGACGGCTTCCGATTCCGATCCGCTTCGACTTCGGATTCCGATCTGGGAGTCCGCTTTCTCACGGGAGGCGCATTGGCCTGCAGATTTCCCCCGATTCGATTTTTCCCGACTCGGCTGCAGATTTCCGCTGATTTGATTCATTTTGATCGTCGATCCGACTTATCGATTCGATTCTGGGCTCTCCTGGGGTTATGGGAGAGGGGGGAAGGCTTCTTCGAAGCACCCCTGTTTCTTAAAGGGAACGGGCCTTGTCTGTAGGCGTAAGGCCAGCGCCTCCAAGAAGCAGCCTCCCAAGAAGCCTTCCCCCTCCTGAACTTGACCATAGTCGCCAAGATGGAACCTTTACATTCGAGTGGACCCACTTTGCTTCCATTTGTGAGCTACCAGTGGTTTTGCATAGGACCCGCCAGTGAAAAAAGTAAGTCGACTCGTGCCCGCGCGCCAGACCCTGCCGTGGGTGCACAGGTGATCTCGCTGCCGTTCCTGTCGTAGTTCACGAGAGCTCCCAGCATGGAGCCCTCCGTGGCCATTCAGGCTCCAGGGCATTGCCAAGCAGACGGCAAGCACGGCTGTCTCGCAGGCGCCGGGACCGCCCGCACACCTTCCGGCATGACGCGCGCGGGCTCCCGCAGAGGCAGCGCGGACTTGACGGCTCGCTTGCTGCGCAAGACGCGCCTGTGCGTCCACTATGCGAAGGGGCACTGCGCCCGCGGGGAGGACTGCGGCTTTGCGCACGGGAGCGGCGACGTGCGCACGGCGCCAGACTTCTCGCACACGCGGCCGTGCAGGAGCTTCGCGAGGGCCAGGAGGTGCAGGCAGGGCGACGCGTGCAGGTTCGCCCACGACCCGGGCAAGATGCTGCCCTGGAAGTGCAGCGGGGCGGCGCGCGACGAGCCCGGCCCGCCGTGCGACGCCGAGGGGCGCGCGCGGGCGCGCGGCGGCCCGCCGGGGGCCGCGCAGGGCGAGGGGCAGCCGCGCACGCCCGGCCTGGTCTCCTGGGCCCTCGAGGGCCGCTTGGTGACCGCCGTCCCGGCCCCACGCCTGCGGGAGGTACTTTTGATCGGGGGCTCCCAAAACGGGATGGTGACCGCACCGTGCGGTGAGTCGGTGGAGATTCGGGGTCACCGCACGGTTTTGGGACTCGAGTCTCTCTCCGAGGATGTCTCGGGCGACAGGGGCCTCCGAGGTTCCAAAACCGTGCGTTGACGGACCGTGCGGTGAGGTCTTGAGGGATTTCGAGGTCACCGCACGGTCTGTCACCGCACCGTTTCGGGACTCCAAATTTGAGGGGAGCGCGTAATTGGGGGGGTGGATGCTCTAAGCCTCCCAGGCGGGGTCCGGGCAGATGGGGTCGGAGGATCGCGCCGCACCGCCAATGCATCGACGACACGGGTCGATGTGGAGCCCGTGTTTCCCCACGCCGACGTCACCGATGCATCGACGACGTCGCCGACGCATCGCCGATACATCGGCGATACATTGGCGATGTGGCGCGATCAGTCGACCTCATCTACTCGGACCCCATATAGGAGGCCTCTAGATACATGGGGGACAGCGAGGGCAGCCGAAAAGGGGCCCCTGAGGGCTCCCCAAAGAGGCCCTTTCAGGCCCATACGGGGGCCTTTGCGGTCCGAAGTGGGCCCCTTTTCCCCTCCACCCCCCTCGTTCGTTGACCGCACCCCCAGAAATTCGCGCCCAAGGTACCCGCGCTCCGTGGGCGGGAATGGGAGTTGCCGTCGCAGCTGAAGGTCACCGTCAAGCGCACGTTCCTCCAATTCTTCGAGGCTGAGGAGGAGGGGGACACGATCGGCTGCTGCCGCCGATGCTCTTCGGCACCGCCCGTGGTCTGGACGGACTAGGTTCTCCGGGCCCAGTGGCGCCGTGCACTGCCCGCCGCGGTCCAGGCACAGCGCCCGGTACCACACTTCAGTCGGGCTCGTCCCTCTACAGAGGATATATATAAAATTATATGTATAAGTCTGATAGTCTGGAGACGATGTGTTTCGAGTATCTCTTGGTAAGTTATGCTTGGAGCATGGTTCGGCTATTTTTTCCTTCCGGAATCCGCCTGTAGGAGCACACGCCCGACCGAACGGTACGACGGAGGTCAGGCTGTCCACCTTTGTTGCCCGTGGCTGCCTCCCTCGCGGGCTGCCAGCTCGCAGCGCCCAGACGGGGATTGCCGTGCGTTCTACAGGATACAGTTGCCTCGCTGCTCTCTCTCTTGTCCCCCCATTGCCACTCCTGCATCCGAGGTTTTCTCCGTTCCCCCCCGCCCCTGTCATCGTTCCCCCCGCCCCTCGAGAACACTGGAACCTGCTGGGGCAGCAGCTGGCTTCGAACCAGCGCTGGCTCGGAGACCTCAGCTTGCGCCGGCCAACCCGCTGTCCTAGCGCTCCGCTTCAGTTGATATGAACCAGCTCTGCACCTGCCGACACCCTTCGTCAACATCATCCTCCCAATCCCTAAGGTTACGAGCCTTCCCGAAGGGCCTCGCTACTTCCTCTTTCATCCTCATCCCTACTGTCACAAACCTTCTCCGGCCACCGCTTCCGTGGTAAACCTACCCCAGTTGAAAACGCGTTGGGATTTGCTACTGCCGTGCTGGCCGAAGACACTCGCCGCGCTATTGCCAAGGCGCCATCGCAGTTCACAAATCTTGTGCACTCGTTGGGACTGGTGTCCTCGTCCACCCTTTGTCATCCTCACTGCTGCCGGTCACAGCCCCAGCTTACTATTCTTTTTGTCTGGGTCCGCACGTTTGCTTGGCGCACACGTCCCGACCTGGTGGATGCCCTTTTTCAGGCGCCCCAAAGCCATATTGCTTCAAGTCTTCTCTCGGGAGGTGCTTGAAGGGCCGCGGCGCGTCCCAGCCACGACTACGGCCCCCTGGTGGGTCCGACGCCTCGGCATGCCGCATGCCTCTTCATGCAGCTGCACCTGCAGCCCTGGCGGGTGTTTCTGCACCAGCGGAGTTTGCTGGAGCGGAACCGGCACTCCCTGCGCGCAGGGACGCATGTCGATCTGTTTGT